CTTGTTGATCATGAAAAAGTGAGGAGTTTCCATATTCAGAAGCAGATACCTTTCAATGTTTTTAAGGTTCGACTGAAACAATTGTGCCGGTGCATGGTTGCATGTTAATTGGCAATAACTATGATAGTACTTGGGGATTTTGTTGGTTTTCTTTCCACCTTTCCCTGATTTCAAACGACTATGTCATAGCATCTTCTAGAATCTACACTTTGTTGATAATTTACTATGGTGTTTGCATGCAGGAGGAGGTTTCAAAAGTGCTTGGAATACCTGTGCAATTTCAACGTTTCTGGGCGTGGGCTAAGCGCCAAAACCAAACATATCGTCCATACCGACCATTGACAAAACTTGAGGAAAAACAGCCTGTAAATACATTTTGCTTACTTTGTTATTTGCAAAGGCTTGGACTTTTCTTTTTATTCTTTTCTCAAATTCAGTGGTGTTTGGCTTGGTTTTGAATTTAAGTGACCACCTTTATACAAGTTCCAAAGTCTCTGGCTCTTTGCTTTATTAGACCTTTTTCCTTTTCTCCATTCTTCTTCTTCTTCTTAGCAGCCCTTTCTCCCTTCTTTTAACATTAAATTAATAGTTTTTGTCATCTTATTTTTTTACCTGTGAGATGGTTTCCTTTTTTTTTTTTTTAATGGAAATTTTGATAATTTTGTGGACTATTTTCATTGTATTTAATACTACTGTTTCCGGCCATCCTTGTTGGTAAGCAGTATTTATGTGTTAAATAAATGGTTCTTAAAGTTAATCTAAGACTATTTTTGTCACCTTCCATTTAAGTACTCTTTTTGCTTCTTCTTCTTCTTCTTCTTTTTTTTTTTTTTAATTGACATACATATCATTAGTTTAGTCAAAGACAGCTACTTCTTTGCCTAATCATAGAAGATGAACTCATATATTCCTACTCTAGGTTGGAATGCTAAGGAAGATTTCAAAGCCAGTTCAAAATGCAGAACTGAAATTGTTCCTGGAAGTAGAGCTTGGACTGGTAATTTTTCTTTCCTTATTCAGTCAACATTTTTCCTTCTCACACATTAATTTCCTCTCAAATGTTTTTAGTGCTTACAAGCATTGTCTTTCAGCATTTCCGCCCAATTGTTCCACCAGATAAGACAAGGGAAGATATTTTGCTTTTCTTCAAGCACTATGATCCTGAGAAAGAAGAGCTACGGTTAAACTTCTCTGTTGTGTGTGTTTTTCTGTATATTTCTATGGCAAGAAACATGACGCTTACTCAAGATTATCTCTCTGTTACATCAGTTATGTTGGAAGGCTTTTTGTGAAACTTACTGGAAAGCCAATAGAAATCTTGTCAAGATTAAATGAAATGGCAGGCTATGATCCAGATGAAGAGATTGATCTTTATGAGGTTAGTGACAGTCATATTTTTGTTGTCTTGATGTTCTTTTTATTTTTATGTGCTTAATTGACACTCATTAGTCATTTTCACTTGGGAAAAGTATATAAACTAGAGAATTAACCTTGTAGAGAGGTAGATATGTCCATGAGCTCTTGATTAGTGATTAAGATGGATGTAGGATGAAATGAGGGTGGATAGCATTGTTTGTGCGGCCAAGAATCTTTTGAAGGGGAGAAAGTTGATTTTAACACTTGACACAAAGTTCTTTTCCCTTCTTCTTGGAGCCAACTGAAATCCAAGATATCATATTTTTGCCCATTGCTGTAGTTTTCTTTGACATTAATCTCAATTTAAATATTAGCTTATTTATGCAACTGCAAGAGTCAGGTTGTTACCACTTTCATCCTCTTGTTCTCCCTGCTGTGTGCCCGTTCTGTCCAATTTGGTTACTTTTGCATTGGAGTGGCTTTCTTCAGTTGACCTTTGACATTTGATATTAACCTGAGAAAAACTTTAAGAATGAAAGTTCATTCCTCTTTTTAATTTCCTAGAACATTGTGACTCTGCACATATGGTTGTGGGATTTAGGTTGTCCGTTCTTAGGGTTGCAGAGCTTGGTGATTTATTTCTGACTGGATTAACGTATCCTGCAGACTCTGTAATATGATGTTTTGCAATTCTGCTTTGTTGTTCAGGAAATTAAGTTTGAGCCCATTGTCATGTGCGAACCAATTGACAAGAAATCCATGTTCGAAACTAGTCAGGTAAACATTATATATCATTCATGTGTTTAACTTCTAACGATGTATTTTGGTGCTCAAAATGGTCTTTTGTCTTGACCACAGTTAGGAGATGGTGACATAATTTGCTTTCAAAAATCCCTTCCTGTTGAAAGTGCTGAACAATTCCCCTATCCAGATGTGCCTTCATTTTTAGAAAGTGTTCATAATCGCTCAGTATGCACTCTCAATCCTTTTAGTTTCCCTCTCTATAGCCCCTCTCAATGCTGACGATTGTCATCTTAGCTAAGAAAATTCATGATTAGATTCTTCAACAATATGGTTTACCATTATATCATGAAATGATCTTTGCATTGTTGTATGTATGGTAGGTTGTACACTTTCGGTCACTGGAAAAACCAAAGGAAGATGATTTTTGTGTGGAGATGTAAGTTGAAGATATAAGGATTACTATTGTTGGTTTCTGTCTTTGATATCCTTTTTCACTAGAAGTTTATGCTAAATGAATCTGGATTGTATTTGCCTTATGAATGTTAAGGTCAATGCTTGATTCTTATGACAACATTGTTGAAAAAGTAGCTCAGCAACTTGGTTTGGATGATCCATCCAAAATCAGGCTTACAGCTCACAACTGTTACTCTCAGCTACCCAAGCCTCGGCCTATTAAGTATCGTGGAGTGAATAGTTTATCTGATATGCTGGTTCACTTCGATAAGGTAATTGTTGAAATGCCCTCACTTATGTCAATGTTAACCAAAAAGGGAAAATGCAGAGAATGTTAATACTTTCTTCTTTATTTTTTCTGTGACAGTCATCTGATATTTTGTACTACGAAGTATTAGACATTCCTCTTCCAGAATTACAAAATTTCAAAACCCCAAAAGTAGCATCTCACCATGCTATTAAGGATGAAGTGAGTATGATGATGATATCCAACACGTTACAGCCTAGTTTTGTGCACCGGGGGAAAGCACCATAAAAGCACCTACGCCATTAATGCACCAGGAAAGAAACAACAAGCATGCAGAAGCTACTCTGCAGCACCAGTAGGCGGGTGCAATTTTGTCAAAGTGGCCACTAAATGGCTAACTCCCAACTGTATTTTCACTTTTCATTTATTGCCTTATGTTAGGTTTTGCCTTTAAATAGCTATATTCCCTTCGTTGTATGGATAAGTTTTATCAGTTAATAAAGTTTCAATTCTCCTCTGTTTTGAATGAGTTTCTTAAGAGTGGATTCTCTCAATTTATCTCTGTATCTTAGGTCTTACCAACCTAAGTGGTGATCTTGGCAATCAAATTCATCGTAGTGGGATTTTAAATCTCACTAAAATCGATGTTTCGGTATCGGTTCCTATGCCATTTGGTATCAGAGCCAATATATTTGGAGTTTGCACGTCATTCTGAGCGTTCTGGTGAAAATTCGATCGATAAAAAAAGTTGCACGCGACTCCACGCGCCACCGCCGTTGTCTCACGCGCCGACCACTTGTACCACTGCAAATCACGTGAAGGTCACACGCCAGTCATCTTCAACCTCTCATTCGCCATGTCATCGATGCGTCATCAACCACGTCATCGACACGTCATCATCCAGTCACTGCCACATCATCTATTTGCCATGTCATCTGTGCCACGTCACTTGACACATCATCAACCATGTAGTGACACGTCATCACCTTAGTCGCTTTTTTGCCATGTCATCAAGTCCCTCAACTTATTTGACCTTACAGATTGATCCCATAATTTTATAAATTTCAAATTACCCCCACTTTCAAACACTAATTTTCCAAAAAGCCCTTTACCAACCTAAACTCATCATGCCTCCTAGAAGACAAAATCCTCCTCATCAACGAGCTGTTCGGGACATAGAAATGAAAGAACTACGTCAACAAATTCAAAGGCTTCAAGAAAGACTCGAAGCTTTTGAGGGACAACAAGCTTAACACCCGCAAGATGAACCACATGAGTTAGAGGAAGATACTGATGATAAGAATCCCTTCCATCACCTAAGGGATAATGAAAGCTCATCATCAACAGAAAAAGTTCGTCGTCGACGACATCCCCAACAAAATGCTGCTCCCAAATCCACTGACCTTGGCATCAAAATTGATATTCCAGATTTTGAAGGTCGCCTTCAACTAGATGAATTTATCGACTGGTTGCACACTGTGGAATGTGTGTTTGAACTCAAGGATATTCTTGACGACAAGCATGTGAAGCTCGTCGCCATCAAATTAAAGAAGCATGCATCCATTTGGTGGGAGAATCTCAAACGCAGTCGAGAAAGAGAAGGCCGCAACAAAATTAGAACTTGGGAGAAAATGCGTCGGGAACTCACTCGTAAGTTTTTACTTGACCGTTACTACCAAGATAATTTTGTTAAATTTCATAACTTGCAGCAAAAAGCAAAAATCTTTGACTGTGGAAGAATATACTATGGAGTTCGAACAATTAATGATGAAGTGTGATGTTCGGGAAATGGACGAGCAAACCATAGCTCGATATCTTGGAGGGTTGGACTATGACATTTCCAAAGTTGTTCAACTTCAACAATATTGGACTTTGGATGATGTAATTCGGCTAGCATTGAGGGTTGAAAAGCAAATCTCAAAGAAGAATATCCCTAGTACTTCAAAACCGCGGGATTTTGGAGCCAACAAAGGGACTCAAGCCTCAAAAACTGCTGCTAAGACCCCTGCCAAGACTGAGAAGGAAGTCAGCTCGAGCCGTCCAACTCAATCTAACACTCGAAAGTGTTTTAAGTGTCAAGGATTTGGCCACATAGCCTCCAACTGTCCAAATAGGAGAGTTGTCACCATTATCGGAGGAGAAATTCATAAAGCCTCAGAAGATGAAGCAGAAAAGGAGCAAAATGATGAAACTGAGTCACCCCAACTTGAGGAAGAACTCATCCCAACTAACCACGAAGAATCTTTGGTTGTGCGTCGTAGTCTTCATGCTACCATAACCAAGGATGAAGATTAGCTTCGACATAACATCTTTCACACCAGATGCACTTCTCGAGGGAAGGTCTGCAATGTCATCATTGACAGTGAAAGTTGTAAGAATGTTGTGTCAAATTATATGGTTGAGAAGCTAGGTCTGCCTGTCAAAGATCATTCCCATCCATACAAGTTACAATGGCTACGAAAGGGAAACGAGGTAAAGGTAACCAAACGTTGCCTTGTCTCTTTTTCTATTGGTAACAGGTACCAAGATGAAGTATGGTGTGATGTTATTCCTATGGATGCTTGTCACTTGTTACTTGGTCGCCCTTGGCAATTTGATCGAAAGGCTATCCATGACGGCCATGCCAACACCTACTTGTTTGTGAAAGATGGTGTGAAGGTCAAGCTCACTCCCCTGAAGCCTGAAGAAACACTTGAAAAGAAGGATGAGGACAAGGCTTTAATCTCCAGATCAACCTTTCAGAAGTTGCACCAAGAGTCGGGAATAGCATGTCTTCTACTGTTATCCAAAGTAAATGATGCCACTTGCCCTTTTCCAGAAGAAATTCGGTCTCTCCTTGAAGAATTTTCTGATGTTGTTCCTGACGAGATCCCTCCTGGATTACCACCAATGAGAGACATTCAGCATGCCATTGATTTCATCCAAGGATCTGTCATCCCAAACAAGCCTGCTTATTAGATGAACCCTCAAGAGTATGCGGAACTTCAACCACAAGTCAAAGAACTGATGGAGAAAGGACTTGTCAAGGAAAGTGTTAGCCCATGTGCCGTGCCTGTGCTACTCATCCCAAAGAAAGACGGAACTTGGAGAATGTGTGTAGATAATCGAGCAGTCAACAAAATCACTATCAAGTACCCGTGCCCAATTCCACGTCTTGATGATATGCTTGATCAACTGCATGCAGCTACTGTCTTCTCAAAGATTGATTTGAGAAGTGGATATCACCAGATTCGAATGCGTCTCGGTGATGAATGCTGTCTGCATTCAAAACTAGAGATGGTTTGTACGAGTGGACGGTCATGCCATTCGGATTGTCTAATGCTCCCAATACTTTCATGCACCTTATGAACCAGGTATTTCGACCCTTCATTGGGAAATTTGTTGTGGTTTACTTTGATGATATCCTGGTATATAGTAAGAATGAACAGGAGCACCTAGACCATCTCCGGCAAGTTTTTGAAGTCCTTAGAGAGTAGAAACTTTATGCTAATCTCAAGAAATGTTCATTCCTCACTACAAGTGTGACATTTCTTGGATACATCATCATTGCTCAAGGTATTAAGATGAACCCCAGTAAGATTGATGCTATTGTCAACTGGCCTACACCAACATCGATGCGTGATGTTCGAAGCTTCCATGGCCTGGCATCTTTTTACCGGAGATTCATCAAGAATTTTAGTTCTATTGTTGCCCCAATCACTGACAACCTTAAGGGTGACAAATTTTCATGGAGCGGCAAAGCCCAACAGAGTTTTGAAGAATTAAAGAGGAAGCTCACTGAAACCTCTATACTTGCACTTCCCAACTTTGACTTGATGTTTGAAGTAGATTGTGATGCTTCTAATGTTGGAATTGGTGTAGTGTTAAGTCAAGAAGGTCGAGCCATTGCCTTCTTCAGTGAAAAGTTGAATGACACAAAGCTCAGATATTCCGCCTATGACAAAGAATTCTATGCAATTGTTCGAGCCTTGAAGCATTGGAGTCATTATCTTCTTTCAAAAGAATTCATCTTGCACTCTGACCACGAGGCATTGAAGCACCTGAATTCCCAACAGAAGATCAGTCGTCGACATGCTGCTTGGAGTGAATTTCTACAAGCTTATCCTTTCCTCCTCAAATACAAATCTGGAGTCCAGAATCGTGTAGCTAATTCTCTAAGTCGCCGACATGCCTTGCTTACTTCCTTACAAATGAAAGTCACTGGATTTGAAGTGATCAAGGAGTTGTATGAGGATGATCCTGATTTTAGCAACATTTGGCAAGCCACTTCTAATCAAGCCTTTCAGCAATATCATCGCCAGCAAGATTACCTCTTCAAGGGTAACCGACTATGTGTTCCACGTTGCTCACTCCGAGATTCAATTATCTGGGAAGCACATAATGGTGGATTAGCTGGTCATTTTGGGAGAGACAAGACTTTAGCTCTTGTTAAAGAAAGTTTTTACTGGCCAAAGTTGGAGCAAAATGTCATTCGTCACATTCAAAGATGCAAAGTTTGTCACCGAGCCAAGACAATCAATCAAAACACAGGGTTGTATCTGCCATTGCCTATCCCAACTTCACCTTGGGAAGATGTTAGTATGGATTTTGTCCTTGGTCTACCATGAACTCAACGAAGCAAGGATTCTATCATGGTCGTGGTTGACAGATTTTCTAAAATGGCTCACTTGATTGCTTGTCAGAAAACTAATGATGTTTTTCTCATTGCTGAGTTATATTTTAGAGAGATTGTGCGTCTGCATGGAGTTCCAAAGACCATCACTTCAGATAGAGATGTGAAGTTCATGAGTCATTTTTGGAGGACCTTATGGAGAAAGATGGGCACTCAACTCCAGTTTAGTTCTGCTAGCCATCCTCAAACCGATGGGCAAACTGAGGCTATCAATAAGATTTTGGGGAATCTACTACGAAGTTTTGTGGGAAAAAATTTGCGACAATGGGATCTTGTGCTTGCCCAAGCTGAGTTTGCCTACAACAACTCTTCGAGTCAAGCTATGGGGAAATGCCCATTTGAAGTAGTATATGGATTGCGTCCTCTCAATCCTTTAGATCCTGCTCCATTGCCCACATCCCGACAATTTAGTGCAGATGCTAAACAACGAGACAAGGAGATCAAGAAACTTCATGAAGAAGTTTGTGAGAAGCTACAACGTCAAACCATTAGGTATAAGGCTAATCATGACAAGCACCGAAAGAAGGTTGTGTATAAAGAAGGAGATTGGGTTGGATACACCTTCGAAAGGAAAGGTTTCATAATCGACCTAATGTCAAACTCTCCCCTAGAGCATATGGTCCTTTTCAGATAGTGGAGAAAATCAATGATAATGCCTACAAAATCAAACTTCCAGGTGACCATGGAGTCTCTGCTACTTTCAATGTAGCTAACCTATCTTCTTACTATGAGGATCGTGAGCATTGAACTCAAACTCGATGACGAGTTTTCTCCAACTAGGGGAGAATGCACCGGGGGAAAGCACCACAAAAGCACCTATGCCATTAATGCACCAGGAAAGAAACAACAAGCATGCAAAAGCTACTCTACAGCACCACTAGGCCGGTGCAATTTTGTCAAAGTGGCCACTAAATGGCTAACTCCCAACTGCATTTTCACTTTTCATTTATTACCTTATGTTAGGTTTTGCCTTTAAATAGCTATGTTCCCTTCGTTGTATGGATAAGTTTTATCAGTTAATGAAGTTTCAATTCTCCTCTGTTTTGAGTGAGTTTCTTGAGAGTGGATTCTCTCAATTTATCTTTATATCTTAGGTCTTGCCAACCTAAGTGGTGAACCTGGCAATCGAATTCATCATAGTGGGATTTTAAATCTTGCCAAAATCGGTGTTTCGGTATCAGTTCCTACGCCATTTTGCTTCTCTATGTTATCACTATTTCAGTATATTTTCAAGTTGATTCATTGTTCACCTTCCAATATCAAATCTTCCAATTATTGTCCCAGGAGAGGTTGAAGAAAGAACATGAAGGAAAAGAACTAAAAAAGAAGAAGGCAAAAGCACAGCTTTGTACCATAATAAAGGTTGGCTCTTTAAAGCATTGATTAAGCAACAGTTTTTGAACGTTGTTTACCAATTTTCTTATCTGCTTATATGGTTCTAGGTTGCACGGGATGAAGATCTTGGAGAGCAGATTGGAAGGGACATATATTTTGATCTTGTGGATTTTGACAAAGTCCAGAATTTCCGTTTTGAAAAGCAGACACC